CTTAGTTGCTCTTGAAATTACTCCTGTCATTTTTTTCTCATGCTGCTGGTGCACTACTAATCATAGAACAGGCTGCCAAAATTGAACTTATCAGTTACTGTTCCTATTCAGCTGCTTTTGACAGAATTCACTGGGGCGATTTAATATGTTTAGTCCCTGAGAGGTGCCAGGTGGAGAAAGGATGGTTTCTGTATGTCATCAGAGAATGAAAAGGACTGTATTTTTCCCATTAGCATCTGCCATCTGAGTGTTTTGTCAGGTGCAGTGGAAGGGCCTGGGCTTTGATTTAGCCAATGCAAAGCACTCTCTTTTTTGTGCAGTAGGGAAAAAATCCACTCAGAAGAAAACAGGTACTACAGGAGCAAGTCATCTCTCTTTCCTGTGATGTTTTCCATTTCTTCCCTTAATCAGCTGAGTGCTGACACTGTGTAAAGGCAGCAGCGAGCCTTGCAGTCTGTGGAGCAAAGGCAGAACACCTAAGATTAAAGACCTTTCTTTGCACCTCCAAAACTGCTAACGCTGACTTGACAAATGGCTGTTTTTGGACACCCGTGCCCTCTCCCTGCTAAACACACGCGCCTTTTGCCACTCCATATTCTGATGTTTCTGGCTGAATATATGTACTGAGTATGTAGTGTGCTGACCAAAATGGAATCCATCTGGCCAGTTCTGGTCTTTGACATTTTCTCAACTGTGGTAAGAGCTTAAAATGGTGCCTCTCTTCCATTCAGTTCTTGAACGGCACAGAGCTGGAATCTGGGAAATGGAAGATGGCACTCCCTTTGGAATCTGCTGCCCAGAGCAACTGTTTCCTCTTGATTCATAGTATATCTGGCCCCGGAACCTTAGCAGTGAACTTGATCTCACATTTTTTTCCACCTATCTGGAATCTGGAATCTCTAAAAATGTTGGTTCTCTGGGAGAATATGCTCCATGGCAAGTATGAGTATATTTCTAGCTTGCTGTCAAAATGTGTACCCTACGGTTGGCACTGGTGGCAGGTTCTGGATGGACCTTGGCCAAGACACCTTCCCTCAGTGGGTGGACCTTCTCAACACCATCCTACCAGCTGCTCCTGCTCCTCATTTTCCTTCTCATCATGGCTCCCACATGCTTGCTTGACAAGCAGAGAGCTGCTACACAAGTGGGCAGTGGCATCTGCTCCTCCTCATGCTCTCCTCATTGTTTGGGCTGGAGCAAGAGATAGATAAGGAGGGAGGTGGTGAGTGGGAAGAGGAGGACGAACTGCAGGAGGCTCTTGTCAGTGGATCCTGTAGGACCTCAGCAGGTGCTCAGCAATACCAGCATTACTTTCCTTGCTCACATGCTATAACTTCTGTGATGACGTCATAAAGCAGGGCCATAAAGCAGGGCTATTGTGTGGATGAATGTTCGGAAGTTTGGATCTCTAGTAAATCTATGATGGGCTCAGAGTATCTGGACTGTTTAGTTGATTTCCCCGTCATAATACGTATGTGCAACAACTTTGGAAGCGCTTTGCTTTTATTAATGCCTCTGTGTTTGGTGTTAGATTTTTCCTGCATTTTAGGGGACACAGTCCTACCAGCCCTCCCCCACACTGTGTGGTTAAGAGGTTTTTAAAATTGCTAATCCTCTTAATGAAGACTCTATCAGATTTTTATAAAGGAGACTGACTGGATTTAACATGCAAAGCATTGCACTGAACTGCTGTTCCTACAGCACTAATTGTTTAGGCAGAAAATTTTGC